CAGGGAATGGCTGAAGGGGGGATGGGGCGATGCAGGGGAATTAGGGAAGACTTAGGGGCCAGATGGGAACAGGGCTACAATAGAGGGACACTCTGAATGGCGGGGTCACTGTGAAGAAAAGGTGGGACATGGGGAGAGGAGGCTGCGGGGAGGCTGTGAGAGCAAGAGCAGACTGGCTGGGGAAGGGAGGGAAAGAGGGTGGGGGTCGGGGAGAAGGAGAGGCAAAGATACAATGGCAGCTCCCCCACCCCATGGGGCAGGAGAGGGGAAGGGGCTGCCCCACCCAGTCAGAGAAGCTTTGGGGGTTTGTGGAGGCTTCCGTCTAGAGGCTCAGAAGCTACAAGGCAGGTGTCCAGACTAGAGATGAAAATAGCATGTAAAAAGTAACTGTTTCAACTATTAAAATTGTACTGGTAACATGTTAAGAAGTTCACAACATGGGCATCTGCCCACCATCCCGGCTGCCTCCATGACTGGTTTAGCCTTGCAAAGCACAGGCGTGGCGGCTGGAATTGCTCTGGGCTCAGTGGAATACTTTTTAGACTGTCTGTGCGCCCCCCCGCCCCCTTGAGGTGGGGCTGGGAGAAAGACCATGGCTCCGGGAGAGGGGGAGTCGGGATGCAAACAGGGGTGAGGTGCCTGAGGCCGGACGTAGAAGCTGATGAAGTCATCTCCATCTTACTGGCATTTCCCTCATGCCCACCCACCATGGGATGTCGCAGTCCACGGCCTGCACCCTGTGGAACCCTGGGGTAGGGCAGGGACAAAACTAGGTCAGCAGCCAGAAGTGCTCAAAAATCAGGAGTCTGCCCCCCTTCCCCTCCAATCATCTTACAGAGATTATCAAGTGTGTGGGGCTTTTTATTTGCCGTCTGGATTTGCACCTATACAGGGACACTGTGAAGAAGGTCCTGTCACCTGAGGGCATGTGGCCACCGCCAGAGCATGTGTCTGACCCGCAGAATCCCTGCAGCATAGCCAGGGCCTGAGCAGGAGGCCTAATCCAGAGGTGGGCAAACTACGACCCACAGGCAACATCCAGCCCGCGGGACCGTCCTGCCTGGCCTGCGAGCTCCCAGCCGGGGAGGATAGCCCCCGGCCCCTCCAGCTGTCCCCCATCCTCCGCAGCCTCACTTCGACCTGCCATGACGGCACACTGGGCAGGAGAGCAGGGAGGGAGGCACACCCACATCAATGATTTAATTGTGGCCTTGCACAACGTTGTGCCACAAAAGATTGTGTCTTCACTAAATGGAAAAATGGTCTCAATAATTGCCGGTGACACTACTGACTGTGGACACCGCAAAGAGATGTCCGTTGTGGTGCGGTATTTTGACCATGAAAAACATAGTCCAGTTGAACATTTTGTGTCTGTTCAGAGACTATTAACAGTTGATGTTCAGTCTATTTTTGACCAGTTAAATGACGTCCTTGGCATTCTTAAAATTGACTGGTGATGTCCGTCTGTTTTGATGGTGCATCTACTATGTCTGGATGTACTGCGGGAGTTCAAATGAAATGTAAAGAAAGAAACAGTGAAATACTCTATGTACACTGCTATGCACATTGTTTGAACCTCGTCCTAGTAGATGCATGCACTTCAAGTAAACAAAACAGAACTGTCTTTGATTTTTTTGGTGTTATTCAGACTCTTTATGCCTTCATGGAGGGGAGTCCTGTGCGACATGCAGTAATGGAGAAGATTTCACAAGAAGTAGGATCCTAGTTGAAGATTTTGAAGTCACTGTCAAACACAAGATGGCCATGCAGATCAGAAGCAGTGGCTGCTGTAAAATAAAACTACTCCATCATTTTACAAGCTTTACTAGAGATTATCGAAACAACTCACTTATCCATGAACTAAATTCATTCAAGTTCATCTTTGCCCTTCACATGATGCACCCTATTCTCCAGATGGTGGTAAAAGTGAGAAAGGCTATTCAAGCTCCAGATCTCAATTTACTTACTCTAATGACAGGGGTGAAAAGCTTGTGTAACTCTTTGGCTGCGATGAGAAGTGGCCCAGAATATTTTCAATCTATTTGCAATGACAGTGTGAAAATGTGTGTAGAGAATGATATATCAATTCCCCCAGTTAAGAAGAGAAAAACGTCCACTCGTATTGATGACGCATTTGAGTCCCAGCATCACTTTGATACAAAAGAGGAGCTGGAGAGAATAACTTCATTTTACCCACTCCTAGACTCAATGATTACCGGCATTGACCAGCGATTTGAACAGAAGACTTGTAAAATTGTGACTGCAATGGGAAAACTGCTGAGCTTAGACATTGGCAGGGATGATATGAGAATCATCGCCAACAAATTTAAAGTGTCCTTGGATGAGTTGGAAGCTGAAGTCGGATTGCTTTGGGGTTATAACGGATCTGTTCCTAAAGGTAGCATGACGAACACCACTAGAGAGTGGCTTGATTGGCTAAAGGAATCAGATCGGTCTTCCATGTTCCATACCTTTTATAAATCTATTCAATGCTTTGCAGTCTTACCTGTTACAAGCCATTCATGTGAATTAGCCTTTTTGAAACTAGCACATGTAAAAAACAAACTAAGAAGTACAATTTCCCAACAGCGCCTCGACTCACTCATGATTTTGAACATTGAACAAGAATTGGCTTCATCAGTAAATTACAATGATGTGATTGAGGAATTTAAGTCCATAACACCTGGTGAGCAACGTCTCATTCTCTAGGACAGGAAGATGAAGAAACCTTAATCTGTTTTGGTCAACTTGGGTTAGCTCATTATCTGGTTAAAGATAAAGATCATGAAAATTGATTGTATCTTTATATACACATGGTTATCGTTACAGCAAAAATTTGGTATTCCGTGTCTCATTTTTTAAGTTTGTATTTTTTAAGTAAAGTTTACATGTTCATTTAAAAAAAACTAGTCAAGTTTTAGTTTCTTTAGTTTGATGAATAAATATAATATCCTTTTTGATTGAATATTCAAT